CAGCACGACGCTGCAGACGGACGACGGAGAGATCCTGCTTGACTACTCCAAGAACCTCATCAACCAGGAAGTGATGGACATGCTGATCGCCCTGGTAACACACACACACACACACACACACACACACACCCACAGTGTTGTGTCACAATGACTGTGCAGTTTGTTCACTGAACACATATTTAACACATTTTACTATTTACACACAGACACACACACACACACACACACACACACACACACAGACACACACAGACACACACAGACACACAGACACACACAGACACACAGACACACACAGACACACACAGACACACACACACACCCACAGTGTTGTGTCACAGTGACTGTGCAGTTTGTTCACTGAACACAGATTTAACACATTTTACTATTTACACACACACACACACACACACACACACACACACACACACACACACACACACACACACACACACACACACACACACAGACACACACACACACACACACACACACAGACACAGACACACACACACACCCACAGTGTTGTGTCACAGTGACTGTGCAGTTTGTTCACTGAACACAGATTTAACACATTGTACTATTTACACACAGACACACTTTACTTCCTATGTTCTTATAAATATTTGTTATTTTATTTTATATTTCTAAACATATTTAACTTGATTTATCTCCATCACAGTCACTTCACGTTACCCCACCCCCTTTATCTCCATCACAGTCACTTCACGTTACCCCCCCCCCCCTGAATCCTTGAGCAACAAGACACAGGAAGCTGTCCACACTGCATTTAGAAAGACTTTATTTTGAAAGACTGAATGTGGAAACTTCCTCCTTCCTGTGTGACTCTAATACTATCACTGTACATATAGTACTATATATAATACTGTACATATAGTACTATATATATAATACTGTATGTAGTACTGCATGTAGTACTGTATGTAGTACTGTATGTAATACTGCATGTAGTACTGCATGTAGTACTGCATGTAGTACTGCATGTAGTACTGCATGTAGTACTGTAATATATTAATATATTGATGTGTTCTCAGGCGAAGTCCCGCGGCGTGGAGGACGCCAGAGAGAAGATGTTCTCTGGAGAGAAAATCAACTTCACCGAGGTACAGAGGGTCCCCTGAACACACCATGAAGACTGAGAACGTGTTTAAAACCCCCTATTGTCCCTGAACACACCATGAAGACTGAGAAAGTGTTTAAAACCCCCTATTGTCCCTGAACACACCATGAAGACTGAGAACGTGTTTAAAACCCCCTATTGTCCCTGAACACACCATGAAGACTGATTTTAAACACGTTATTCTGTAAATGTCCCTGAACTACGGTGGCCTCCAGGGACCAAAATGATACAAAACACCCAGGGTGTTTCTCAATGTCGAGTACGCTTGCTTGGTAGCACATGTCTGCCGAGCATCTTGCTTCAGAAGCGAGTCAAGAATACTTCCTGCCATTTGGAAAACAAAGAGTGGAACAGGCTAGCAAGTGTGCAGGTGTGCGTCATGAGAGGCCCCGCCTCTTACATCTTCCGCCACAGATTTGGGGAAATTGGTCCGTGCGCAAAGCATTGTGGGGATTTTAAGACCGCGGAGTCTACTCATGTGCAGCCTCCATATTTCTCCAAACGGAGTACGCCGGGCTCGGTAGATTTCCAAGTATGCTGGAGATTGGAACAGTACTTCGGCGGCACTCGATGACGTAGCATGCTTGAAATAGTGGCTCTGAAGCAGCTTTACTTGACATTGAGAAACACCCCCAGTGTGTATCTAACATTAAAACACAAGAGTTCTTATCAGCGCACACACACACACACACACACACACACACAGCATTGTGACACAGTGACTCTGCAGTTTGTTAACTGAACACAGATTGAATGTTTATATTTAACACATTTGACAATTTAAACATTCTTTATGTTCCATTAAATGTTGAGGTGTGTGTGTGTGTGTGTGTGTGTGTGTGTAGGGTCGTGCTGTTCTCCACGTCGCTCTTCGTAATCGCTCCAACTCGCCGATCCATGTTGATGGTAAGGACGTGATGCCGGAGGTCAACCGCGTGCTGGACAAGATGAAGGCCTTCTGTCACGTACGACATCTTTCATTATTAAGTATCTTTAATCGTACGACATCTTTCATTATTAAGTATCTTTAATCGTACGACATCTTTCATTATTAAGTATCTTTAATCGTACGAGTTTCATGACGTTTTCAGTGGAAGTTGTAAAGGTCGTGACCTCGGTGTTTTTTGTTCGCAGAGAGTTCGTAGCGGCGAGTGGAAAGGCTTCAGCGGGAAGAGCATCACGGACGTGGTGAACATCGGGATCGGAGGCTCGGACCTGGTGAGAGGATTTAGAACCAGAAGCTTTACCTGAGGGTGAAGTGTGTTGTGTTCAGGGAAGCTCCGAGATTTAAGACTCAATGTTTACTTCTCCGAGTAAACAACACCGCTCTGAGGTCTCACTAATGATGTATTAAAAGTGCCTGTTGATGTAACGCCTGTGTGTTGTGGTGCGTTTAGGGCCCTGTGATGTAACGCCTGTGTGTTGTGGTGCGTTTAGGGCCCTGTGATGTAACGCCTGTGTGTTGTGGTGCGTTCAGGACCCTGTGATGTAACGCCTGTGTGTTGTGGTGCGTTCAGGACCCTGTGATGTAACGCCTGTGTGTTGTGGTGCGTTCAGGGCCCTGTGATGTAACGCCTGTGTGTTGTGGTGCGTTCAGGACCCTGTGATGTAACGCCTGTTAATATGTGGTGCGTTCAGGGCCCTCTCATGGTGACAGAGGCTCTGAAGCCCTACTCAGAGGGTGGTCCCAAAGTCTGGTTCGTCTCTAACATCGACGGGACTCACATGGTGAAGACCCTCAAAGAACTGAACGCTGAGACAACACTGTTCATCATCGCCTCCAAGGTACACACACACACACACACACACACACACACACACACACACACACACACACACACACACACACACACACACACACACACACACACACACACACACAGAGAGACACAAACAGACATAGACATACATACACACACACACACACACAGAGAGAGAGACACAAACACACACAGACATAGACATACACACACACACACACTGAGAGAGACACACACAGACACACAGACACTGAGACAGAGACACACACACACACACACACTCTGAGAGACACACACAGACATAGACATACATACACACACACACACACACGCACACAATGATACTAAAAGTGTGTTTTTCCCCGCAGACGTTCACCACTCAGGAGACGATCACTAACGCAGAGTCGGCCAGGGATTGGTTCCTGAAGACAGCCAAAGATGTGAGTGCATTTGATTCTCTGGCAGCTGATTGGACGACGGTCTCTCAGGATATGTTCTCATGTTCCTCTTGTTTCCTCCTCAGAAATCTGCGGTGGCCAAACACTTCGTGGCTCTGTCCACCAACGCCGTGAGTCACGGTGTAGCACGTTAGCTGCTGTGCTAGCATTAATGTGTTTATACTGTAGTAAAGTTATCTTCACCATATCATCCAAACTGCTTTAGCATTAATAATGTCATAATGTAAATGATTCTTATATAAAACATGTTAATATAAGGTTTGCCATGCCCCGGGGAATTTCCTTTAGATAAGATAAGGGTTCTCATCAGGGTTCCTCTGATGCCTTCAGGGTTCCTCTGATGCCTTCAGGGTCTCATCAGGGTTCCTCTGATGCCTTCAGGGTCTCATCAGGGTTCCTCTGATGCCTTCAGGGTCTCATCAGGGTTCCTCTGATGCCTTCAGGGTCTCATCAGGGTTCCTCTGATGCCTTGAGGGTCTCATCAGGGTTCCTCTGATGCCTTCAGGGTCTCATCATGGTTCCTCTGATGCCTTCAGGGTCTCATCAGGGTTCCTCTGATGCCTTCAGGGTCTCATCAGGGTTCCTCTGATGCCTTCAGGGTTCCTCTGATGCCTTCAGGGTCTCATCAGGGTTCCTTCTGATAATCTTCCTCTCTCATCTTCAGGTCAAGGTGAAGGACTTCGGAATCGACACCGCCAACATGTTTGAGTTCTGGGACGTGAGTCTGGTTCCAGAATAAGAACGTAACATGTTTAGAGACACAGAGACGCTTCATACCACGTCTTCTCTTATTATTAGTTTGTTTTAGTGGTTAATTGACGCTGGTGTGATGTCATGCTGCTCTCTGATTGGTTAATTGACGCTGGTGTGATGTCATGCTGCTCTCTGATTGGTTAATTGACGCTGGTGTCTCCTCAGTGGGTGGGAGGTCGTTACTCTCTGTGGTCGGCCATCGGTCTCTCCATCGCTCTTCACATCGGTACGTTTCTTTATTTAGTACGCCCTTATTGTTGTTTTTGTTATTATGATTAATAGTATTATTATTGTTATTGTGTGTTTCAGGGTTTGAGAACTTTGAGCAGCTCCTCTCCGGAGCTCACTGGATGGTAGGGAAACATATATTTATTAATGACGTTTTTTAATATTTAGATGTTTCTGTTTCTGTTATATTTGAGGACATTTTATTTATTTTATCAAAATGACAAAAATATATGATACAGAAGTGTGTGTGTGTGTGTGTGTGTGTAGGACCAGCACTTCCAGTCCGCCCCGCTGCAGCAGAACGTCCCGGTGCTGCTCGCTCTGCTCGGGGTCTGGTACGTCAACTTCTTCAAAGCGGAGACGCACGCCATGCTGCCGTACGACCAGTACATGCACCGCTTCGCTGCCTACTTCCAGCAGGTACTCAACTACTACACAACTACTACACAACTACTACACAACTACTACACAACTACTACACAACTACTACACAGCTACTACACAGCTACTACACAACTACTACACAACTACTACACAGCTACTACACAGCTACTACACAACTACTACACAACTACTACACAGCTACTACACAGCTACTACACAGCTACTACTCAACTACTACACAGCTACTACTCAACTACTACACAGCTACTACTCAACTACTACACAACTACTACACAGCTACTACACAACTACTACACAACTACTACACAGCTACTACACAGCTACTACACAACTACTACACAGCTACTACACAGCTACTACACAGCTACTACACAGCTACTACACAGCTACTACACAGCTACTACACAGCTACTACTCAACTACTACACAGCTACTACACAACTACTACACAACTACTACACAGCTACTACACAACTACTACACAGCTACTACACAGCTACTACACAGCTACTACTCAACTACTACACAGCTACTACTCAACTACTACACAACTACTACACAGCTACTACTCAACTACTACACAGCTACTACACAGCTACTACTCAACTACTACACAGCTACTACTCAACTACTACACAACTACTACACAGCTACTACACAGCTACTACACAGCTACTACACAACTACTACACAGCTACTACTCAACTACTATACAGCTACTATACAACTACTATACAGCTACTATACAACTACTACACAGCTACTACACAACTACTACACAACTACTACACAACTACTACACAGCTACTACACAGCTACTACACAGCTACTACACAGCTACTACACAGCTACTACACAGCTACTACACAACTACTACACAGCTACTACACAGCTACTACTCAACTACTACACAGCTACTACTCAACTACTACACAGCTACTACTCAACTACTACACAACTACTACACAGCTACTACACAACTACTACACAACTACTACACAGCTACTACACAGCTACTACACAACTACTACACAACTACTACACAGCTACTACACAGCTACTACACAGCTACTACACAGCTACTACACAGCTACTACACAGCTACTACACAACTACTACACAGCTACTACTCAACTACTACACAACTACTACACAGCTACTACTCAACTACTACACAGCTACTACACAGCTACTACTCAACTACTACACAGCTACTACTCAACTACTACACAACTACTACACAGCTACTACACAGCTACTACACAGCTACTACACAACTACTACACAGCTACTACTCAACTACTATACAGCTACTATACAACTACTATACAGCTACTACACAGCTACTACACAGCTACTGCACAGCTACTGCACAGCTACTGCACAGCTACTGCACAGCTACTACACAGCTACTGCACAGCTACTACACAGCTACTACACAGCTACTACACAGCTACTGCACAGCTACTGCACAGCTACTGCACAGCTACTGCACAGCTACTACACAGCTACTACACAGCTACTGCACAGCTACTACACAACTACTACACAGCTACTGCACAGCTACTACACAGCTACTACACAGCTACTACACAGCTACTACACAGCTACTACACAGCTACTGCACAGCTACTACACAGCTACTACACAGCTACTACACAACTACTACACAGCTACTACACAACTACTACACAGCTACTACACAGCTACTACACAGCTACTACACAGCTACTGCACAGCTACTACACAACTACTACACAGCTACTACACAACTACTATACAACTACTGCACAACTACTGCACAACTACTGCACAGCTACTGCACAGCTACTACACAGCTACTACACAGCTACTACACAGCTACTACACAGCTACTACACAACTACTATACAGCTACTACACAGCTACTACACAACTACTATACAGCTACTACACAGCTACTACACAGCTACTACACAACTACTATACAGCTACTATACAACTACTACACAACTACTATACAGCTACTACACAACTACTACACAGCTACTACACAACTACTATACAACTACTGCACAACTACTGCACAACTACTGCACAGCTACTGCACAGCTACTACACAGCTACTACACAGCTACTACACAGCTACTACACAGCTACTACACAACTACTATACAGCTACTACACAGCTACTACACAACTACTATACAGCTACTACACAGCTACTACACAGCTACTACACAACTACTATACAACTACACAACTACTACACAGCTACTACACAGCTACTACACAACTACTATACAACTACTACACAACTACTATACAGCTACTATACAGCTACTACACAGCTACTATACAACTACTACACAGCTACTACACAGCTACTATACAACTACTATACAGCTACTATACAGCTACTATACAGCTACTATACAACTACTACACAGCTACTACACAGCTACTACACAACTACTATACAACTACTATACAACTACTATACAGCTACTACACAACTACTACACAACTACTATACAGCTACTATACAACTACTACACAGCTACTACACAGCTACTATACAACTACTACACAACTACTACACAACTACTATACAGCTACTATACAACTACTACACAACTACTACACAGCTACTATACAACTACTACACAACTACTACACAGCTACTACACAACTACTATACAGCTACTATACAACTACTATACAACTACTATACAACTACTATACAGCTACTATACAACTACTACACAACTACTATACAACTACTATACAGCTACTATACAACTACTATACAACTACTATACAGCTACTATACAACTACTACAAACAAGCTACTATACAACTAACTACACAACTACTATACACTACTATACACTACACTACTATACACTACTATACACTACACTACTATACACTACTACACAGCTACTACACAACTACTACACAGCTACTATACAACTACTATACAACTACTATACAGCTACTATACAACTACTATAACAACCTACTATACAGCTACTATACAACTACTACACAGCTACTATACAACTACTATACAGCTACTATACAACTACTATACAGCTACTATACAACTACTATACAGCTACTATACAGCTACTATACAGCTACTATACAACTACTATACAGCTACTATACAACTACTATACAGCTACTATACAACTACTATACAGCTACTATACAACTACTATACAACTACTATACAGCTACTATACAACTACTATACAACTACTATACAGCTACTATACAACTACTATACAACTACTACACAGCTACTACACAACTACTATACAACTACTACACAGCTACTATACAACTACTATACAACTACTATACAGCTACTATACAACTACTATACAACTACTATACAGCTACTATACAACTACTATACAGCTACTATACAACTACTATACAACTACTACACAACTACTATACAGCTACTATACAACTACTATACAGCTACTATACAACTACTATACAACTACTACACAGCTACTATACAACTACTATACAGCTACTACACAACTACTATACAGCTACTATACAACTACTATACAACTACTATACAACTACTATACAACTACTATACAGCTACTATACAACTACTATACAACTACTATACAGCTACTACACAACTACTATACAGCTACTATACAACTACTATACAGCTACTATACAACTACTATACAACTACTACACAGCTACTACACAACTACTATACAGCTACTATACAGCTACTATACAGCTACTATACAGCTACTATACAACTACTATACAGCTACTATACAACTACTATACAGCTACTATACAACTACTACACAGCTACTACACAACTACTATACAACTACTATACAGCTACTATACAACTACTATACAACTACTATACAGCTACTATACAACTACTATACAACTACTATACAGCTACTATACAACTACTACACAACTACTATACAGCTACTATACAGCTACTATACAGCTACTATACAGCTACTATACAGCTACTATACAACTACTATACAACTACTATACAGCTACTATACAACTACTATACAGCTACCATACAACTACTATACAACTACTATACAGCTACTATACAACTACTATACAGCTACTATACAACTACTATACAACTACTATACAACTACTATACAGCTACTACACAGCTACTACACAACTACTATACAGCTACTATACAACTACTACACAGCTACTACACAACTACTACACAACTACTACACAACAGAGAGAGAGAGACTAAAGTGCAATAAGAGTTTAGCATGTCAGGGCGGTAACACGAGCAATCTGTCTAAACATTTATCAAAAGTGCTCCACATTCAGACGGAGAAATGCACCGGGTCCGACTGTCTCTCTAGTAGCTCTGTAGCCCCGTCCACGAGTAACGTTTCCACGTCAGGTGTTATGTATGCTAGCAGCAACACACGGAGCTAACTCAATGATACAAACATGGGTTAATGATTAGAGGGAACTGAGTTATTTAGTTTGTTAAAGTTTCAGCTATTCTGTTTACAGTTCTGTCATCACATTATTCCATACGGTTTGTTAAAACGTTGTTTCTGTTGATGTGAAATATTATGTATTTAAATAAAAAGCAATGTTAGTTTTGTTCACAATTTGTTTATTTTCATTTAATCGTTTATTTGAATAGGAACAATGCACATTAATGAACACTTTAGACAAATAATGCTTCAAGTGTAAATATGCCGGATTTTAGCTTTGAGCTAATTTCCATCCGTCGTCCCTGACATACAACATATAGTTAGTTTACCTAATTTTTCTCTCCAAAAGAACCGATAAGAGTACCGTTAAAAGACCAGACCGATAAGCGGTATCGATAATATTAGTACCGTTAAAACCTTAACGATACCCATCCCTACAACCACTACACAACCACCACACAGCCACCACACAGCTACAGAAGCCAAAGCCATCATGTTGATGTAACTGCTGCTTCTTCCTGATGCGTTTCTATAGCTCTGTGGGTTCTCAGCCTTGATGAACAGACACAGTCTAACGAGCGAGAGTAACGAGGGGTAGAATGTGCTTAACGAGCAGAACTGACGTGTGTGTGTGTGTGTGTAGGGTGACATGGAGTCTAATGGGAAGTACATCACCAAAGATGGCGCCCGTGTCGACTACCACACCGGGCCCATCGTGTGGGGAGAGCCGGGGACCAACGGACAGCACGCCTTCTACCAGCTGATTCACCAAGGTACACTGACAGACACACACACAGACACACACAGACACACACACACTAGTAACTCCTCTCTCTCTCCTGCAGGAACTCGTCTGATTCCCGCTGACTTCCTCATGCCTGCTCAGTCTCAGCATCCAATCAGAGACAACCTGCACCACAAGGTGACGCCCCCTCTGCATGTCACTCAAATTCTATAAGCTTTATTGACATTGTGTGTCTGTATTTCCTGTCTGTAGATCCTAGCAGCTAACTTCCTGGCTCAGACGGAGGCTCTGATGAAGGGGAAGACGACAGAGGAGGCGCAGAAGGAGCTTCAGGAGGCGGGAGTTAAAGGAGAGGCTCTGAGCAAGCTGCTGCCTCACAAGGTCATTACATGTCTCATATATATATATATATATATATATATATATATATATATATATATATATATATATATATATATATATATATATATATATATATATATATATATATATATATATATATATATATATATATAAATAAAGCTTATGATGAAACCCCATGATAGGCCTAGATGTCTTGAAGTCTCTATCGTTATCAAACATGTGAAGTTTTGGGCCGTTTGGAGCATTTTCACAAGTTACAACATCGTGTTTCATGGTGAAGGATCTGTCGCTACGGCAACGGCATTTAACGAAATCTCAAAATTGACATGTAGATGTCTTCAGGGCTGGACTGTTGGTTTTACCAGTTTTTTAGCATCTTCATAGGAGTTATAGCAATATCGTGTTTTTCGTTTCAGTTAGTTATGTGTACAGTTAGTTATGTTAACAGTTAGTTAGTTAGTTATGTTAACAGTTAGTTATGTGTACAGTTAGTTATGTGTACAGTTAGTTATGTGTACAGTTAGTTATGTTAATAGTTATGTTATGTTAACAGTTAGTTATGTGTACAGTTAGTTATGTTAATAGTTATGTTAATAGTTAGTTATGTTAACAGTTAGTTATGTTGACAGTTAGTTATGTTATGTTAACAGTTAGATAGTTAGTTATGTTAACAGTTAGTTAGTTAGTTATGTTAATAGTTAGTTATGTTAACAGTTAGTTATGTGTACAGTTTAGAGATCCCTTCTTCTTGGAAGGAGCCCAATGAGTTTCTGAAGGTTCATTCAGATGTTCTGTTTGTTCTGAAGGTTCATTCAGATGTTCTGTGTTTGTTCTGAAGGTTCATTCAGATGTTCTGTTTGTTCTGAAGGTTCAGTCAGATGTTCTGTTTGTTCTGAAGGTTCATTCAGATGTTCTGTGTTTGTTCTGAAGGTTCATTCAGATGTTCTGTGTTTGTTCTGAAGGTTCATTCAGATGTTCTGTTTGTTCTGAAGGTTCATTCAGATGTTCTGTTTGTTCTGAAGGTTCATTCAGATGTTCTGTTTGTTCTGAAGGTTCATTCAGATGTTCTGAAGGTTCATTCAGATGTTCCGTTTGTTCTGAAGGTTCATTCAGATGTTCCGTTTGTTCTGAAGGTTCATTCAGATGTTCCGTTTGTTCTGAAGGTTCATTCAGATGTTCCGTTTGTTCTGAAGGTTCATTCAGATGTTCTGTTTTTGTTCTGAAGGTTCATTCGGATGTTCTGTTTTTGTTCTGAAGGTTCATTCGGATGTTCTGTTTTTGTTCTGAAGGTTCATTCGGATGTTCTGTTTTTGTTCTGAAGGTTCATTCAGATGTTCTGTTTGTTCTGAAGGTTCATTCAGATGTTCTGTTTGTTCTGAAGGTTCATTCAGATGTTCTGTGTTTGTTCTGAAGGTTCATTCAGATGTTCTGTTTGTTCTGAAGGTTCATTCAGATGTTCTGTTTGTTCTGAAGGTTCATTCAGATGTTCTGTGTTTGTTCTGAAGGTTCATTCAGATGTTCTGTTTGTTCTGAAGGTTCATTCAGATGTTCTGAAGGTTCATTCAGATGTTCTGTTTTTGTTCTGAAGGTTCATTCGGTTCATTCAGATGTTCTGAAGGTTCATTCAGATGTTCTGTTTGTTCTGAAGGTTCATTCAGATGTTCTGTTTGTTCTGAAGGTTCATTCGGATGTTCTGTGTTTGTTCTGAAGGTTCATTCAGATGTTCTGTTTTTGTTCTGAAGGTTCATTCAGATGTTCTGTGTTTGTTCTGAAGGTTCATTCAGATGTTCTGTTTGTTCTGAAGGTTCATTCAGATGTTCTGTTTGTTCTGAAGGTTCATTCAGAAATGTTCGAGGTATCATGTTCATGAAGGTTGCATGGTTCATTCATGTTCTGAAGGTTCATTTCAGATGTTCTGTTTGTTCTGAGTGTTCAGTCGATGTTCTGTTTGTTCTGAAGGTTCATTCAGATGTTCTGTTTGTTCTGAAGGTTCATTCAGATGTTCTGTTTGTTCTGAAGGTTCATTCAGATGTTCTGTTTGTTCTGAAGGTTCATTCAGATGTTTCTGTTTGTTCTGAAGTTCATTCAGATGTTCCGTTTGTTCTGAAGGTTCATTCAGATGTTCGTTTGTTCTGAAGGTTCATTCAGATGTTCTGTTTGTTCTGAAGGTTCATTCGGATGTTTCTGTTTTGTTCTGAAGGTTCAGTCAGATGTTCTGTTTTGTTCTGAAGGTTCATTCAGATGTTCTGTTTTGTTCTGAAGGTTCATTCAGATGTTCTGTTTTGTTCTGAAGGTTCATTCAGATGTTCTGTGTTGTTCTGAAGGTTCATTCAGATGTTCTGGTTTGTTCTGAAGGTTCATTCAGATGTTCTGTTTGTTCTGAAGGTTCATTCAGATGTTCTGTGTTTGTTCTGAAGGTTCATTCAGATGTTCTGTGTTTGTTCTGAAGGTTCATTCAGATGTTCTGTTTGTTCTGAAGGTTCATTCAGGATGTTCTGTTGTTCTGAAGGTTCTGAAGGTTCAGTCAGATGTTCTGTTTGTTCTGAAGGTTCATTCAGATGTTCTGAAGGTTCATTCAGATGTTCTGTTTGTTCTGAAGGTTCATTCAGATGTTCTGTTTGTTCTGAAGGTTCATTCAGATGTTCTGTTTGTTCTGAAGGTTCATTCAGATGTTCTGTGTTTGTTCTGAAGGTTCATTCAGATGTTCTGTGTTTGTTCTGAAGGTTCATTCAGATGTTCTGTTTGTTCTGAAGGTTCATTCAGATGTTCTGTTTGTTCTGAAGGTTCATTCAGATGTTCTGAAGGTTCATTCAGATGTTCTGTTTGTTCTGAAGGTTCATTCAGATGTTCTGTTTTGTTCTGAAGGTTCATTCAGATGTTCTGTTTGTTCTGAAGGTTCAGTCAGAGTGTTCTGAAGGTTCATTCAGATGTTCTGAAGGTTCATTAGATGTTATGTTGTTCTGAAGGTTCATTCAGATGTTCTGTTTGTTCTGAAGGTTCATTCAGATGTTCTGAAGGTTCATTCAGATGTTCTGTTTGTTCTGAAGGTTCATTCAGATGTTCTGAAGGTTCATTCAGATGTTCTGTTTGTTCTGAAGGTTCATTCAGATGTTCTGTGTTTGTTCTGAAGGTTCATTCAGATGTTCTGTTTGTTCTGAAGGTTCATTCAGATGTTCTGTTTGTTCTGAAGGTTCATTCAGATGTTCTGTTTTTGTTCTGAAGGTTCATTCAGATGTTCTGTTTGTTCTGAAGGTTCAGTCAGATGTTCTGTTTGTTCTGAAGGTTCATTCAGATGTTCTGAAGGTTCATTCAGATGTTCTGTGTTTGTTCTGAAGGTTCATTCAGATGTTCTGTTTTTGTTCTGAAGGTTCATTCAGATGTTCTGTTTGTTCTGAAGGTTCAGTCAGATGTTCTGTTTGTTCTGAAGGTTCATTCAGATGTTCTGTTTGTTCTGAAGGTTCATTCAGATGTTCTGTGTTTGTTCTGAAGGTTCATTCAGATGTTCTGTGTTTGTTCTGAAGGTTCATTCAGATGTTCTGTTTGTTCTGAAGGTTCATTCAGATGTTCCGTTTGTTCTGAAGGTTCATTCAGATGTTCTGTGTTTGTTCTGAAGGTTCATTCAGATGTTTTGTTTGTTCTGAAGGTTCATTCAGATGTTCTGTTTGTTCTGAAGGTTCATTCAGATGTTCTGTTTGTTCTGAAGGTTCATTCAGATGTTCTGTTTTTGTTCTGAAGGTTCATTCAGATGTTCTGTTTTTGTTCTGAAGGTTCATTCGGATGTTCTGTTTGTTCTGAAGGTTCATTCGGATGTTCTGTTTGTTCTGAAGGTTCATTCGGATGTTCTGTTTGTTCTGAAGGTTCATTCAGATGTTTTGTTTGTTCTGAAGGTTCATTCAGATGTTCTGTGTTTGTTCTGAAGGTTCATTCAGATGTTCTATTTTTGTTCTGAAGGTTCATTCAGATGTTCTGTTTTTGTTCTGAAGGTTCATTCGGATGTTCTGTTTGTTCTGAAGGTTCATTCAGATGTTCTGTTTGTTCTGAAGGTTCATTCAGATGTTCTGTGTTTGTTCTGAAGGTTCATTCAGATGTTCTGTTTGTTCTGAAGGTTCATTCAGATGTTCTGTGTTTGTTCTGAAGGTTCATTCAGATGTTCTGTTTGTTCTGAAGGTTCATTCAGATGTTCTGTTTTTGTTCTGAAGGTTCATTCAGATGTTCTGTTTGTTCTGAAGGTTCATTCAGATGTTCTGTGTTTGTTCTGAAGGTTCATTCAGATGTTCTGTGTTTGTTCTGAAGGTTCATTCAGATGTTCTGTTTTTGTTCTGAAGGTTCATTCAGATGTTCTGTTTGTTCTGAAGGTTCATTCAGATGTTTTGTTTGTTCTGAAGGTTCATTCAGATGTTCTGTTTTTGTTCTGAAGGTTCATTCAGATGTTCTGTTTTTGTTCTGAAGGTTCATTCAGATGTTCTGTTTTTGTTCTGAAGGTTCATTCAGATGTTCTGTTTTGTTCTGAAGGTTCATTCAGATGTTCTGTTTGTTCTGAAGGTTCATTCAGATGTTCTGTTTGTTCTGAAGGTTCATTCAGATGTTCTGTTTGTTCTGAAGGTTCATTCAGATGTTCTGTTTGTTCTGAAGGTTCATTCAGATGTTCTGTTTGTTCTGAAGGTTCATTCAGATGTTCTGTTTGTTCTGAAGGTTCATTCAGATGTTCTGTTTGTTCTGAAGGTTCATTCAGATGTTCTGTGTTTGTTCTGAAGGTTCATTCAGATGTTCTGTTTGTTCTGAAGGTTCATTCAGATGTTCTGTTTTTGTTCTGAAGGTTCATTCAGATGTTCTGTTTTTGTTCTGAAGGTTCATTCAGATGTTCTGTTTGTTCTGAAGGTTCATTCAGATGTTCTGTTTGTTCTGAAGGTTCATTCAGATGTTCTGTTTGTTCTGAAGGTTCATTCAGATGTTCTGTTTTTGTTCTGAAGGTTCATTCAGATGTTCTGTTTGTTCTGAAGGTTCATTCAGATGTTCTGTTTTTGTTCTGAAGGTTCATTCAGATGTTCTGTTTGTTCTGAAGGTTCATTCAGATGTTCTGTTTGTTCTGAAGGTTCATTCAGATGTTCTGTTTGTTCTGAAGGTTCATTCAGATGTTCTGTGTTTGTTCTGAAGGTTTTCGAGGGAAACAAGCCGAGCAACTCCATCGTCTTCAAGAAGCTGAGCCCGTTCATCCTGGGAGCGCTGATCGGTGAGGACGAGTCAGAATCATCATAACAACAATAATACATGTTATCATGTTGAGCAGAACACCAACCTGAAGGATCCTTCATATTAACCTACAGAAACTAATGTGTTGTGATTCTATAAAGAGATCCTCTGAAGAGCCGGATAGATCATTAATAATGAGTGTTTGATTTAATACACTTTATAATCTGCTGTGATCTCTTTTGTCCAGCGATGTACGAGCACAAGATCTTCGTGCAGGGCGTGATCTGGGACATCAACAGCTACGACCAGTGGGGGTGAGACTCAGATTAACATAAATATATGATATAAATGTATATAAAAACCCATGCAGCAGCATCCTCTCACCCTGTGGAGATATAACAGGTAACTAATGGCGCATTTCCACTACACGGTCGGCCTCGGCCACACTCGGTACGGCTCGGTACGGCTTGGCCGCGTTGGGCCTTAACAGGGCCGACTCACTTCATGCTGCGCTTCCATTACAGTTTAGGAACTGGGGTAGTTACTATAGTAACGCAGTGTAGGCGGAGCCGTGACGTCATCTTCAATGAGAAATCCAGAAACACAACACAACCGTTAGCTGTTAGCACTCAGAGCTCACAGCTCCTCATATCTGTTCAGAAACTCGACAAAAGTTAAACAAGTACAAACCACAGACTGCCTGTGTCATGGCGAATACAGTCGCAGGTTTATTTATGTCTGTATAGGCCGTTGTTGTGAGTGTGGACGGTCGGGGCATATACTGCGTTAGCTTAGCCAATCTCCATCTAGAAAAACACGAATTTTAAAAGGTTTGTCGCCTGCCGTCTGTCTGCAGACTTGTCAAAGCATTAATTCATGGTTTTTACTAACCGGTATCAGTATGTTGTTACTTCGGCATCATTTTGAAACGTGTATTACAATTAAATCACGGTCAAATATGTCCATCTTGTTGTAGTTCTAGCCCCCTTGCCAGCGCTCCTCTCTCTAGTTTAGCATACTCAGCCCGACTCAGCCCTGTTTGTTGGCCCCGATAGAACCACAATTTTCTAGGGCCAGAAAAGAGGTGAAAAAGTGGCCCCGCGCCGTGCCGCGCCGGTAATTGGCCTAGTGGAAGCACAACCAAAAAAGGGGACGGCACGACACGGCACGGCACGCTTAAAGCGAGCTCCGCGCTGCAGTGGAACTGCGCCATAAGAGTCATGATTTGGTCGTGTTACGTCCCACTAAGAGGACCTGGGGACACAGCCAGCAGTAACCGAGGAGTCGGGGTGTTAGGTCCCACAAATGGCGCGTTTCCACTACACGGCCTCGCTCGGCCCCGCTCGGTATGGCTAGGCCTCGTTAGGACTGGCTCACTTTATGGTGCATTTCCATTACAGTTTAGGAACTGGGGTAGTATCTATAGTAACGCAGTGTAGGCGGAGCGGTGACGTCATCTTCAATGAGAACCCCAGAAAAACAACACAGCCGTTAGCTGTTAGCACTCAGAGCTCACAGCTCCTCATATCTGTTCAGAAACTAGACAAAAGTTAATCAAGTACAAACCACAGACTGCCTGTGTCATGGTGAATACAGTCGCTGCTTTATTTATGTCTGTATAGGCTGTTGTTGTGAGTGTGGACGGTCGGAGCATATACTGCGTTAGCTTAGCCAATCTCCATTCAGAAAACACGCATTTTAAAAGGTGTTTCGCCTGCCGTCTGTCTGCAGACTTGACAAAGCATTAATTCATGGTTTTTACTAACCGGTATCAGTATGTTGTTACTTCGGCATCATTTTGAAACGTGTATTACAATTAAATCACGGTCAAATATGTCCATCTTGTTGTAGTTGTAGCCCCCTTGCCAGCGATGCTCTCTCTAGTTTAGCATACTCAGCCCGACTCAGCCTCGTTGTCTCTGGCCCTAGAACCACGATTTTATGAGGCCAGGAAAACTGTGAATTAGGACCCGCCGGCCGGTACTAGGCCAAGTGGAAACGCAACCAAAGACGGGCCGCTGACGTCACAGCCCTCTTAAACCGTGCTCCGCGCTGCAGTGGAAACGCGCCATTAGAGGACCTGGGGACACAGCCAGCAGTAACCGAGGAGTCGGGGTGAACGTTAGTTAAACAGTTTATTACTTTGAAACAAAGAATACTGCCAACTAATGTTCTTTAAGTGAGGAGGAGACAAAACCAGGCCAAACCGGGCCTATCTCTAAATCTATCCTCTGAAACCAAAAGCTCTCTGACTGCTAAGAATGAGACGAAGAGAAACACGTTTTTTGCCAACATTTTTTATTAGACACATTCTTTTTAGCCAACTTTTGTTTTGGTCAATATTTCTTTCTTCAACTTTGTTTTAGGTCAACTTTCATTGTTGACGGAAATTTTTTGGTCAACTTTTTTTCTTTTTTGGGTAAAAACGGCGCATTTTTCCTGAAGTTGCTGAACGTTGTCTAAATGCTGAACGTTGCTGAACGTTGTCTAAATGCTGAACGTTGTCTAAATGCTGAACGTTGTCTAAATGCTGAACGTTGCTGAACGTTGTCTAAATGCTGAACGTTGTCTAAATGCTGAACGTTGCTGAACGTTGTCTAAATGCTGAACGTTGCTGAACGTTGTCTAAATGCTGAACGTTGCTGAACGTTGTCTAAATGCTGAACGTTGTCTAAATGCTTAACGTTGCTGAACGTTGTCTAAATGCTGAACGTTGCTGAACGTTGTCTAAATGCTGAACGTTGTCTAAATGCTGAACGTTGTCTAAATGCTGAACGTTGCTGAACGTTGTCTAAATGCTGAACGTTGTCTAAATGCTGAACGTTGCTGAACGTTGTCTAAAGGCTGAACGTTGCTGAACGTTGTCTAAATGCTGAACGTTGCTGAACGTTGTCTAAAGGCTGAACGTTGCTGAACATTGTCTAAATGCTGAACGTTGTCTAAATGCTGAACGTTGCTGAACGTTGTCTAAATGCTGAACGTTGCTGAACGTTGTCTAAATGCTGCAGGTGCTGCTGCTGAAGATGTGATGAAGTGGAAATGAAAAAGGTGATATTTTGTTGACGTTGTTATTATCGTTGTTTCTCTTGTTGTGTTCAGCGTGGAGCTCGGGAAGCAGCTGGCGAAGCAGATCGAGCCGGAGCTGCAGGACGCCGTAGCCGTGACGACGCACGACTCCTCCACCAACGGGCTCATGAACTTCCTGAAGAAGAACTTCAACTGAGCCCTGCTCTCCCATTGGCTGCCAGCGTTCAACCCTGCTCTCCCATTGGCTTTCATTGTAGAATCCCCTCCCTCTGTGGACTCCTCCTCTCTCATTGGCTCACTGCAAACATTCCTCCTCATTGGCTCCCTCTGTCTACAACTCCAGTCTCATTGGCTCCCACGTTTAGTCCTCTTCTCTCATTGGCTCCCTCTGTGTATCCTCCAGTCTCTTATTGGCTGCCACCTTACATTCCTGTTTCTCATTGGCTCCCAGCTTACAACCCCGCTCTCTCATTGGCTCCCTTTGTGTATCCCTCCTCTCATTGGCTGGCATTAGAGGCTCTGTGTGTAGTTGTGTTTAAAGGGATTTAATCTGAATATGTAAAGTTACTGACGGCACTTTATCAGCTCTGACCTTCAAAATAAAAGTCCTGTCACTGACGCTGCTTCCTGTTCTCCTTTCAGAGGGTAAATATAGAAAGTCTGTTTCTGAGCTTCATGTTTTATTTTAAATGATCAAAACTTAGTCATTTATCATTTAACCTGTTAAGCCCGGCAGCCCAGGGCTTTTCACGAAACTGTGTCTCAACAAACTTTTGCACATGCAACAAAGAAAATAGGCCTTTACAATATTCAAAAGAAATAGGCAAAACTCAAATAAAATAACAAACAACTTAGGTATTATTTATTTTCTTGATAATGCTTATAACTTCATAACTTAAAGGGTACTTGTACGATTTGTATGTACGTGTACGTGTACGGTTAAAAACTGTTCCTCGACGGCGTCTCTCAACAGGTTGCCCATCACTGTGGCTTTAGCCCAGGCGCCGTGGGAAATGTAGTTCTTTATAGTGCGTTGACTACAGACGTCACAATTAGGTGGCCTTTCTTATAAAATCAAAATACTGGCTCTAACACAATGTATAGTCTGAGCCTATTTCCGAAAATAACTAGACCGAGTAGAGTGACATCCCACTGTGCCACCCTAAAAGATCATATATTTAGCAATGACATTGAAAACCACACAGTAAGTGGCTTATTAATCAATGATATCAGTGATCACTTGCAAGTGTTCACAGTCTATGAAGCAACTACAGGAAAAAAGAAAAAGGATACAGACGGATGCGATCAGAGGAATCCATCAACGCACTGACAAATGGATTGCTGGAACAGAATTGGGACAAACTTGACCAAGAAAGAGACATTGATCCTGCTTATGAAACCTTTCTAAGGATATTTAGGTCATTATATGACAAAAACTGCCCAATTAAAGAATACAGCAGAAAACAAAAAGATATGCATTGCCCATGGATCACAAAGGGATTACAACATGCCTGCAAAAAGAAAAACACACTATATAGGGACTTCATTAAACAAAGAACTCAAAGTGCAGAGGATAAATATAACAAACATAAAAATAAGTTGACTAATATTATAAGAACAAGCAAGAAAGACTATTATAAGGAATTAATAGATAAAACCAAAATATGGGATATACTTAACAGTATTGTAAGAAATAAGTCTAAACAAAAAGGATATCCTGAGTATTTGACTGATAACTATAATGAAAAGTATAATATAAATAATGTAGCTAACAACTTCAATCAATTCTTTGTGAATGTTTGGCGGGAAAGATCCCTGATCCAGGGACAACTGGGGAACATCAAGACGATGTATTGGAGAGAAACCCCTGCTCAATGTTCATTAAACCAGTTGATGAAAGAGAGATATTAGATATTGTTCAAAAATGTAAAAATAAAAAGTCTACTGATTATAATGACATTGATATGACATTAGTAAAAATGGCCATTGGGGGGATTTCTAAACCATTAACGTACATCTGTAACCTGTCATTCCAAACCGGTACTTGTCCAAACAAAATGAAAATAGCTAAAGTCATACCTGTATACAAACTGGGAACAAGCACCACTTCACAAACTACAGACCTGTCTCTCTACTTCCACAATTCTCAAAAATACTAGAAGAAGTATTCAACAACAGACGCATTCATAGAAAAGCACAAATTAATCACGGACAGTCAATACGGATTTAGATCAAACAGATCAACATCACTGGCAATTATGGATCGATTGAGGATATCACAGATGCTCTTGAACACAACAAATATGCAGTAGGGATTTGTACAGATATTAAAAAAGCTTTTGACACAATCAACCATGACATCCTAGTATATAAATTAGAAAGGTATGGTATCAGGAGTATACTTTTAGACTGGATTACAAGCTATTTAAGCAACAGACAGCAGTATGTGAAGATGGGAAATGACTGCTCTTCATGTTTGGACATTGCTTGTGGTGTCCCCCAGGGGTCAGTGTTGGGTCCTAAACTGTTCATACTGTACATCAATGACATCTGTAAGAGTATCCAATGTACTGAGGCTAGTTTTGTTTGCTGACGATACAAATATATTCTGTTCTGGGGAGAATTTAGAACAGCTAGTGGAGAACATAGAAGATGAAATGCACAAATTAAAAACATGGTTTGACAAAAATAAACTATCATTTAACTTGAGTAAAACAAAAGTAATGCTGTTCGGTAAACATAGAACAAAAACACAAATGCAAATAAAAATAGATGGGGTTGAAATTGAAAGAGTCCATGAAATTAAATGTCTTGGGGTAATAATAGATGACAATAAGTTGGAAATTACACATAAAACATGTACAATCAAAGCGGTCAAGAAGCATTTCAGCAGATCAGAAATCACTTCGCATTCTCTACTGTTCACTAGTCTTACCATATCTGACGTACTGTGTTGAAATCTGGGGCAATAACTACAAAAGTACTATACATGCAGTATCTATTCTACAAAAAAAAGCCATACGAATCATTCACAATGCCAAGTATCTTGATCACACTAACGAATTATTCCTGCAGTCAAAATTGTTAAAATTCACAGACCTGGTAGAATTCCAAACGGCACAAATCATGTTTAAGGCAAATCATAACGTTTTACCAGGAAACATCCAAAAAGTATTCACTCAACGAGTGGGGGGATATAGTTCAAGAAGACAATTTTAAATTCGAAATTCATAGGGTCCGTACAACCAGAAGAACGTTTTGTACCTCAGCCTGTGGAGTGAGACTATGGAACAGTGTGAACATGGAGCTAAAGCGATGTCCAGACATTCACCAGTTCAAGAGGAAATACAGAGAAATTATTTTCTCGAGGTACAGGGATGGGGAAGGTGTTTGACTATGTGTATGTGTATATCTGTGAGTATGTAGGTGTGTATATGTATGTGTGCATATATGTATATCAGTGTATGTATGTGTATGTATATGTGTATATGTATATATGTCAATCAACAGGTAAAGCAGATTAATAATAACTAGAGAATGCAATTCCTGAAGAAATTGCTTGTGGGAATGCTTTATGCTGAAAATCTCACGCTAAACTGCTATGCTGAAATGTAATGTGTAAGAAGAAAGTGAAGAATTTAGATTGAAATGATACATGAACACTGGGGGCTTGAATGTGTGATGAGAGAAGAGAAGAAAGTAAAAAGGCTTGGAAAAGCAGCAGAATATTTGAACTGCAAACCTTTGAACTCACTTGATGGTGAATGATCTGTCACCATGCCAACGGCATTTGATGACATCCCATAATAAGCTTAGATGCGTTGATGGCTGCATCGTTACCAAACCTGTGAAGTTTTGGGCCATTTGGAGCATTTTCACTGAAGTTATGAGAAAACCGTGTTTCATGGCGGGCATTGTGTTGCCATGGCAATGGCATGTCCCGTAGATGTCTTCACGGCTGGACTGTTAGCACACATGTGAAGTTTGAGCACTTTTTGAACATTTTCATAGGAGTTATAGCGACATCGTCTTTTATCGCGAGGGATGCGTTTCCATGGAAACGGCATATGGTGAGATCTCAGATTTGGCGTAGAGCTGTTGAGGGCTGGACCGGTGATATACAAGTGAAGATTGGGGGACGATCGGACCGTGTCCATTGGATTTACAGCGACATCGTGCTTCATGGTGAGTGGTCTGTCGCCATGGCAACGGCATTTGATGACACCCCATAATACGCTTAGATGCGTTTATGGCTGCATCGTTACCAAACCTGTGAAGTTTTGGGCCGTTTGGAGCATTTTCACTGAAGTTATGAGAAAACCGTGTTTCATGGCGAGCATTGTGTCGCCATGGCAATGGCATTTGATGACACCCCATAATACGCTTAGATGTTGATGGCTGCACCGTTACCAAACCTGTCAATGTGACATCATCGTGTTCCATGACACAGGTGTTTATATTTGAGCTAACGACGACAGCTGTGTGTCACCAATAATGTATAAAATAGGTGGAACATGTTGAAGTCAGTATGAAGTCTCCATCAGACAGAAAAGAATAGGCTCAGACAGTCTGTTAAACTCCAGTGACCACGTCGTTAGCTCAAACACGAACACCTGTGTGTTATGACATCATCGTGTTCCATGACACAGGTGTTTATATTTGAGCTAACGAGGTGTGCAGAGATCAAAGGTTTCCATTGTTCTGAATGAGAGATAAACCTCTTACATGTGAACGTTTTGTGGAAGAACGATAACAGATATCTGTGAAATTTCAAAACGTGAAGCATGTCAAGGAAGTTGAGAATCTGAAGTGTAATGTTTGTGTACTTTCGGGTTAATAATGTGGCCTTTTTGGCAGTTTAACTAAAGGTGTGCGGCTGCTGCTGTGAGGAAATATTAGCCTGAAATTACAATGGGCTTTAATGGAGACATGTTGAAAGTTTTTGTCACTTCATGCCCTCAAGAGGGATTTTGTTTAATTATTTGTCATTTTTCAAGCTACGAGACGTTTTCCTACGTTTGTCATGAAAAATTATGTCTCAGGAATGTAGGGTTTGGGAATTATGGCAGTTTTAAAAGAAAATATGAAGGCAAATTTCAAGATTTCCTGTGACATCACGCACTCTAGTTAATGTTAAAATCTGAAGAAAGCCTCTTTACCAAGGTCTGAACAATGTTTAATATCTCTAAAAGTAAGAATCAGATTTAAAAGTTGTGTTACACGAATAATGTCAGAAAGATGTGTAACATTTTAAAGTTGGAATGAGGTTTCTGAGTGAAAGTATGAATGAACAGTTAGCAGTTGAAGTCGCATGAAGATTTGTTGAAGTCTGAAGAATTTCTCCATTGACTTCCATGTTAAAAATGGGATGTATTATGGGATGTATCTCTGGAATTATGAAAGTTATGAATGATAAAAGTGATAGCCATCGATTCCCGACCGAGCTGAACGTTTTGATGTTTGAACGGAGTTTCTGCGATGTTGAATGTGGGAGGAGAAGAGGGCCAAAATAATTGGATGGAATAATAAGAATTTTGTCCGTAGCATAACATATAGTTGGAATGCTGTATCAGCATTCCAACTATATTATTGCAGATTATAGATTATAAATAAATCATTTAGGGACAAGGGGGTTAAATAAGTTATACTTCTTCTCACTCCTTTTCGAACACTAGATGTGGCACTGTTTATGTTGTTAATGCTGTTGTTGTTGTAAAATGTCATTTTTTTGTTTTGATTTCTCTTACATGACTATGCACTACAACATTTCTTTTGTTTTGTAATTATTAATTTACTTGTTCGAAATAAATGTATCAATCAATCAATCAATGTGTCATATCCACCTAACGGGAAGAAACTCAGCTAACTGACGATACGAACCATTTTTACCAAAACAAAACACAAGTCTCACAAGAAGGGTCGAAATGAGCCCTGAGCGAAAACATGCTGACGCACTTAGCACAGAACTCTAGGTATAAATACTTTATTACTTATCGGATCTGCACAAACAAGATATCAACTAGCAAGCTGAGATTCCACAGATTCCATAAATATAAGTATCATCACTGAGCGATCAAAATGCGCCAGGGGAAGCAAATACAGACAACACACCACGTAGCTTTAGGTAGCAAAAACGAAAAATAAGTGTTGCTGTTGTTCTGATCAAAAGTGGTCTTCAATGGCATTAAAACGATAAAAACGCTGCTGAAGGTTAATCCAATGTGTCTGTCACTTTGAATTTACTGATAATCCATAGGTTAATCCAATGTGTCTGTCACCTTGAATTTACTGATAATCCATAGGTTAATCCAATGTGTCCGTCACTTTGAATTTACTGATAATCCATCATTCCATTTTTGTCAAAAACTGAGATTTCATATTAGCTGCAATGAGAGCTACGAGAGTGTATGACAGCTTCCGGGGCATTCTGGCTACGCATCACTCATTCACCAATGGGTAATCAGTGTGAGAAAAAGTTTTTAGAGAGTACTTGTCCATGGACAAGTGAGTTTGGCAATTTACTTGTCCGAATACATTTTTCACTTGTCCAGAATGGACAAAAATTGGGACCACTGGAATCTTCTTCTTCGCCAACGTATTTTACTTTTCCCCACGATTTTTACGTCACCGCTAACGTAAGTGAGCGGTAAGATTTTACTGCATCACACATACGTAGGGTTGGGTATAGTTTGGATTTTAACGATTCCGGTTCTGCTTTTCGATTGCGGTTATTTTTGGTTCTCGATTCCGGTTCTTTGAGAGGGTAAAAATAAGTCCCATGACAAACTGGGAGAAAAACATATTTATGAAAACATTAAGTCAAACCTGTATTCCTATTTACAAATCACTTCAGACTGTTTAATTTCTTACGGTTATTGAATACAATTATATAAAAATAATCTCTGCATTGTTTAGTTAGTTCTATGTGGTGCAGTTTGAGAATGTACAATTGGCCCAGTCTCCTCTGATGTTACACTGCAACCTGCCTGTGAGACAGTCCAACCACACATGTCCAACACATAGGCCTAATAATAATAATAATACATTATATTTATAGCCTATAGGCCTAGCGCTTTTCTACAACTCAAAGACACTTGCATGCTTACACATGTCCTGCAACACACATGCTGCAGCTGCTCACTGTTTGTAAAAGTAAATAAATACTATTTTCATTTCAATAATGTATTTTCTATACCCTGCTTCATAAACAATACTAACATCCCTGTGCTCCTCCGAGTCTGGGGGTCGGGGGATGTGAGGACAGCGCGAGGACACAGACAGGGTCTGGTCTTTAGATGGATTTAGGAACTTCCCTCTCGATTCTATTGGCTCTAGCGGTTAAAAAGAGGTGTCAACCATCAAAATCGAGCAAGGGGGGCCAGAGATATGGAAAATCCACCCAAATGACCCCAGAAGTGGTTTCTTTTTGCTAAACCTCTCTAAAAAGGTCAAATGTCACTTGTTTTGCATCAATCTTGATACAGGGTACTTATTATATGTTGTACTTTGGATTCCTAAAGCTTTTAGTCTACTAACCCATCATCCAAGGGTAGTTTTCACTATAAGTAAAAAATAATTGTTGGACGGACACTATAATTTACAGTTTTTTACTATGTAAAATCTGAATTTACTTTAAAATAAAAAACATCTATATTGATTCTGACTTTTCTTCATCCAACTCACAGGTTTATCATTACTTTGAGAACAAAGATTATTAATTTAACCCTTTTAGAAGGTTAACGTAATTTGTTCTGGGAATGTCATTTTCGAGCCTGAGACCTGAAAAACGGATTAATGAGTTTTTAATAATATTATACATTTACTTATTTTAGTTAACAACCCAGTAGCGTACTCTATTATATTAATCTGAATATTTATACTCATGTACGAAAAACACCAAATACAATTTAGAACCTTTTTTTTTTTATTAAAAGTTTATCTGATCTACTTTTCTTTATCGGGCAACTTTTTTTTATTTTCGGCCCAAAAAGACGTTTGGGTAAAAAGTGCGTGTTTCCTCAGGTTGCTGAATGTTCTCTAAATGTTGCCGAATGTTCTCTAAATGTTGCCGAATGTTCTCTAAATGCTGCCGAATGTTCTCTAAATCAGTGGTTCTCAACTGGTTAGGCCTCGGGACCCACTTTTTACTTGGTCAATACATCGCGACCCAACATTTTGAAGCACTCAAATCTATTCAACAAAAAATCGTGCTGTAATATACGCTTTTCAGAATACAATATTAATAAAAGTGAAGTACAGTGCATATATCCCTTCACAGAACTAAAGTATGCTTTTAAAAAAGGTTTAATGAGATGATGGAATCAAAGCTGAACTATATAAAAAGGCACACATGCTGAAAACCCAACCCCAGCAGGGGGTCTGGGGGGATTCTCCCCCAGGAGATTTTTTGAAATACTAACAAACTACGCATTCTGGTACACTCTGAGAAGAAAATAAATAAATCATACATATTAATAATATTTTATGCCATTGTTTGTTTTTCACTTAGTTCTGACATCTTGCTGCGAGAAGAGGAGATAGTCTGTGTGATTTACTTTAAATTGTGGGTAAGGGTAGATAGCTCCCATTGTTCTGTGACCTCTCAGTCATCAAATCGGGGGTCATATTTCATTATGTGTTCATTTGTATCTGAAGTTGTACCCATGGATGTATAAAGAATAGTTCTACCGCTAAGTTATTCTCCGTGGGGACTTCCGGCAACAATCTTGATTCTGATTGGCCAGAAGACTCGAAAAAACATCAGCAAAGATGTTTTATTGAGAAGATGATCACTACGTGACAGAAGTTTTCAAACCCGTTTATGGTCTCCGGTACTTCCAGTCCAACGCCGACTGCATGCACAGCGTTAGAGAATCGGTTCTTCAAAATAAAAGTTTGCCTTTTTTCCCAAAAAAAAAAAAAAAAAAAATTCAAATTCTTTTTTTCACCTTTTTTTTTCTTCACTCACACATCCGCGACCCACTTGAAACGGGTCCGGGACCCACTTTTGGGTCGCGACCCACCAGTTGAGAACCACTGCTCTAAATGTTGCTGAAGGTTCTCTAAATGTTGCTGAAGGTTCTCTAAATGCTGCTGAAGGTGTGATCAATAAAGACAGGACCCATGGGTACCGCAGGCTCTGCATTTAATGCGTCCTGCAGCTCAGACTGTGACTCTTTAGAAACAGGATGTACAACATCCAAACATGTCCTTTGGTTCCTCTAAAGGAGTCAGTCCTGCGGCTTCAGGAAGACCCTCTTGGTGTCCCCCTCCTCTGAGGCCTGGTCCCTCTTCAGGGAGACCCTCTTGGTGTCCCCCTCCTTTGAGGCCTGGTCCCTCTTCAGGGAGACCCTCTTGGTGTCCCCCTCCTCTGAGGCCTGGTCCTTCTTCAGGGAGACCCTCTTGGTGTCCCCCTCCTCTGAGGCCTGGTCCCTCTTCAGGGAGACCCTCTCGGTGTCCCCCTCCTCTGAGGCCTGGTTCTTCTTCCTGGTGAACTTCTTCCTCATGCTGCCCACCAGACTCTCGTACCTGAGGACGACAGGTGTCCATCAGCTCTGACTATCAGGTATAATGACACTATATGAGGTCAAAGGTCAGGGTCTCACCTGAGGGCCATCTCCTCGTCCGTCACGTCCGTCTGCATGTGGCTCACTTCCTCTTCCTGTCTCTCCTCCTCTTCCTCTTTAGGGTTCATCGTCACCATCAGCTTCTGTGACAACACACAGCAGGGGACACACTTTATGTACTTATACACATTTATATATACACAGTATATGTTCATGTGTATCCCTGTTATCAGTCTGTCTGGAGGACCCCCCCCCCTCACATAAGGCTCCACACTTCATCAGCTCTCATTAATATATTATAATATATAATAATACATTATATAATAATACAACCCGTGACCCTGGCCTGCAGTGCCGTGTTTCACCACTGCCTTTAGAGGGGGGCGCTGTTTGACGACAAAGGCGGAGCATTACCTAAACCAGCAGTTTTCAAAGTGTGAGGCGTGCCTCCCCTGGGGGGCGCCAGAGAGCTTCAGGGGAGGCGCGCCAGAGAGCTTCAGGGGAGGCGCGCCAGAGAGCTTCAGGGGAGGCGCGCCAGAGAGCTTCAGGGGAGGCGCGCCAGAGAGCTTCAGGGGAGGCGCGGCGTGAGAAAAGAATAACGAGAAACAGTGAAATGTAGCGAGTTAACTTCAGCTAACTTTATGTGAGCGGCAACATGGATCGATTTTTAGTGAAGTTACCTAAAGTGAGAGAGGAGACGGCGTCTGGCAGAAAACTGTGGAGACTGAGTTCCCTTCACCTCCACCTACCTGTGAGAGTGCTCATTCCCTTCACCTCCACCTACCTGTGAGAGTGCTCATTCCCTTCACCTCCACCTACCTGTGAGAGTGCTCATTCCCTTCACCTCCACCCACCTGTGTGAGTGCTCAGGTAGGTGGTGCGGGTCCCGTCTGCAGCCAGAGGATGGTCTGCGTGTGCACCTGTCCACATTGCATCCCCTCATCATCCGCCTGTGTGCATCAGAGACTCATTGCTCCACTAAAGTAGGGCTGAGTGTAAGGAGGAGGCAGAGTTGACGTTCAGTGTGTTGCCGGGAGCAGATAAGGATTCATCCACGATAGGCGCGTTCACACCAAGTACTTTGCCGTACTCAGTGCCCCGGCACTCAGTGCCCCGGCACTTATTACCCCAGGGCACTCAGTGCAGATCGCGTACTTTTCCCTGAGGGAAGATTACGCAAATGAGCCGCTGACGTCACTTCTTCTTCTTCTGCTTTGGGTTTACTGGCAGGCTGCAAACCACTTCACGGCGTATACTGCCACCCGGAGTCCCCGGCCGGAAGTCCCCGGAGTTGGGGAAGGCTTCAGTAGAAGCTGCTGGGACTCCCAGCAGCTTCTACTGAAGCCTTCAGAGGAAATCACCAGAGCGCCGACACCTCCTCATCTCCACCGCTCCCATGTTTTATTTTGTGTTGCCATAAGTTAGTCTCTCTGCGTTTGTGCGCTGGGCTAATGCTAATAATGCTAATGCCAGGATAACAAAACATTTCAGAGTTGTACGGGGCGTGGTTTGCAATTGGCCCAGCCAATCAGAACTGGGGCACTTTTTCCCCAGGAAAGTACCATCTCTCAGCAGGCACTACACATGGGGGGAAAAGTTCCCGAGATGAAGTGCTCTTTTTGGTGTGAACGCGACATAAGGGGTACTAACGGAACTAAACGCGAAAAGTACGGTGAAAAGTACTCCGGGATGAACGCGGCTAATGTTGAAAATGTTAAAACAATTTAAAACATAAAGATAAAAAGGTTTAAAAAAGTTAATCTTTAACCTGTTACGCACCGCCCCCCCGGTACCGGGCGGATAAACGCGTCATTTGCAGGAAACAACGTCTAAGGAATCTTAATATTTAATAAACTATGAATGTTTTATATCCATGTAACGGGAAGAAACTCAGCTAACTGATCTTTTTTAATTTTTTCCCCCAAAAAACCCACAATGCTAACACTCAGCCTCTGAATTAGCCACGAGCGAAAAAATGTAACCTATCTCTGCACCTAAACTCACTCCTAACTCCCTTATTACTTATCCTAGATGCACAGCCAACCCCTCGATTAGCATCTCCTGGAGACACAGAATCTAGTGGTGCCCACCTCAACACTCAGTGATAAACATTTGCGACGCTATAAACGAAAGCGTACATCAGAACATGTGGAACTAGGTAGCTAGAAACGCTAACATGGCTTACCTTGGTCAAAACTGGTCTTCAATGGCATTAAAACGATAAAAAACGATGCTGCAGTTAATCCATAGGTTAATCCAATGTGTCTGTGTCCTCTTTGAAATGATTTCTGATAATCCATAAGCAATAAAACTGCTTTTTCGTTTCCAAATGTCAGAGCTAGAGATAGGTCCACTCTGGTGCAAACCTGCATGCGGGAAGCCCCCAACGTTTGTTTTCACAACGAGTGTGTGTGGGGGACTCCCCCTTCGATTCTATTGGCTCTAACGGTCAGAAAGAGGTGTCAACCATCAAAATCGAGCAAGGGGGGCCAGAGATATGGAAAATCCACCCAAATGACCTCAGAAGTGGTTTCTTTTTGCTAAACCTCTCTAAAAAGGTCAAATGTCACTTGTTTTGCATCAATCTTGATACAGGGTACTTATTATATGTTGTACTTTGGATTCCTAAAGCTTTTAGTCTACTAACCCATCATCCAAGGGTAGTTTTCACTATAAGTAAAAAATAATTTTTGGACGGACACTATAATTTACAGTTTTTTACTATGTAAAATCTGAATTTTCTTTAAAATAAAAAACATCTATATTGATTCTGACTTTTCTACATCCAACTCACAGGTTTATCATTACTTTGAGAAAAGAAATTATTCATATAACCCTTTTAGAAGGGAAGTTGTAGTCATTTGTTTTGGGCATGTCATTTTCGAGCCTGAAACATGAAAAACAGGTCAGAGTCAGCCGCGGCGTTATGGGTGGGCCTAGGCCCACCCACTCTGTCACTGGGCCCACCCACTCTGTCACTGGGCCCACCCACTCTGTCACTGGGCCCACCCACTCTGTCACTGGGCCCACCCACTCTGTCACTGGGCCCACCCACTCTGTCACTGGGCCCACCCACTCTGTCACTGGGCCCACCCACTCTGTCACTGGGCCCACCCACTCTGTCACTGGGCCCACCCACTCTGTCACTAGGCCCACCCACTCTGTCACTGGGCCCACCCACTCTGTCACTGGGCCCACCCACTCTGTCACTGGGCCCACCCACTCTGTCACTGGGCCCACCCATTCATTCATTGATCAAAAATGAATGGGCGAAAACATAGTTTCCAACATTTTTATTTTTTATTATCAAAACTAACGATTACATAATAAAATAAGAGCAAACATGTGTTTCCCTTTAAAAAAACTTAGAAAATTAAAAGCAACATGAATGAATGTAATCGGGCAAAGTAAAATGTGAATTTGGACCGAACTCATAGTGGAAGCGCTGGAGCAAACACATCGTAGAACGTCTCGCGGGCGCGCGCAGATGGAGGACAGTGGACTGGACAGACACACAAAATATACCGCACTCACTAACGATGTCACAACAATCGATGTTCAGGTTTTCATTTGAAAGAGTAAGAAGAGTCATCCTCACAGCAGGTGCCGCCTTAGAGAGACGAGAGTGTGTTTAATGTTGTGCCCCGCTGAGCTCAGTCCCTCTGCGGGACGTAGCACTCGTTGCAGGTCAACAGAAAATAGCATCCCAGTGCCGGACCTCTCAGCCATAGATGACCCGGCGGCTACACAGCCAAAGCTCATAAAGTACCCTCAGACACTTTTCGGACAAAAGAAAAGGAGCTCTGCTGCCCACTGGTATGACAAGTACACATTCTTGGAGTATAGCATTAGCAAGGACAGTGTGTTTTGTAAAATGTGCCGGCATTTTAGTGAGAGGCGCGGCCGGCGGAGAAGATACATTCAGTCGCCATGGTTACAGGGACTGGAAACACATCGACTATGCTCTCAGTAAACACGAATGCAGCGCAGCTCATGCAATAGCTATGGAGAGAAATACAAACTACAGACAGTGCGAGAAGTCTGACCATGGAACCATCCTCCATCAGCTACTCAACCCAGAGGGCCGACAGGGAGAGATCATTGAGAAAGATCGGGAACACGTAAACTTTCACCGGACATAATTCTCACATGTGCAAAGCAAGAGATTCCTCATTTCATATTGAGACTAAATATCTGGGGAAATGATTAAGAAACGTAGAGCTAAAATGTGGTGCCATTTGCAACTACCAGAGCGCACCCAGACGCGGCAGGCATTCTCCAGCCCAAATCTATCTGCTGCCCAGCTGCTTTAGGATGAAACGTACCTTCAGCTCATGAAAGCTCTGCAGTATCAGAAGGAAGTAGCTAGTGATAAATCTGCAGCCTCTGAAAAGTGCAGCGTCAGAGAACCAGTGCCTTTTACGCACGGCCGCTCACTTCGCTAGATCCGCTAAAGGACAGCAGGCTGCGGTCTAACCACACAGACACACATCAGGGTCTAACCACACAGACACACATCAGGGTCTAACCACACAGACACACATCAGGGTCTAACCACACAGACACACATCAGGGTCTAACCACACAGACACACATCAGGGTCTAACCACACAGACACACATCAGGGTCTAACCACACAGACACACATCAGGGTCTAACCACACAGACACACATCAGGGTCTAACCACACAGACACACATCAGGGTCTGACCACACAGACACACATCAGGGTCTAACCACACAGACACACATCAGGGTCTAACCACACAGACACACATCAGGGTCTAACCACACAGACACACATCAGGGTCTGACCACACAGACACACATCAGGGTCTAACCACACAGACACACATCAGGGTCTGACCACACAGACACATTGGATGAACCTATGGATTAACTGCAGCATCGTTTTAATGCCATTGAAGACCAGTTTTGACCAAGGTAAGCCATGTTAGCGTTTCTAGCTAGCTCCACATGTTATGATGTACGCTTTCGTTTATAGCGTCCCAAATGTTTATCACTGAGTGTTGAGGAGGGCACCCCTAGATTCTGTGTCTCCAGGAGATGCTAATCGAGGGGTTGGCTGTGCATCTAGGATAAGTAATAAGGGAGTTATTGTGAGTTTAGGTGCAGTGATAGGTTACATGTTTTCGCTCGTGGCTAATTCAGAGGCTGACTGTTAGCATTGTGGGTTTTTAAAAAGATCAGTTAGCTGAGTTTCTTCTTACATGGATATAAAACATTCATAGTTTATTCAATATTAAGATTCCTTAGACGTTGTTTCCTGCAAATGACGCGTTTATCCGCCCGGTACCGGGGGGGCGGTGCGTAACAGGTTAACACCTGTGTGTCCCTGAACGCACCATGAGACTGCAGGCAGGACTGTACCTGTTAACACCTGTGTGTCCCTGAACGCATCATGAGACTGCAGGCAGGACTGTACCTGTTAACACCTGTGTGTCCCTGAACGCACCATGAGACTGCAGGCAGGACTGTACCTGTTAACACCTGTGTGTCCCTGAACGCACCATGAGACTGCAGGCAGGACTTCACCCGTTAACACCTGGTGTCCCTGAACGCACCATGAGACTGCAGGCAGGACTTCACCCGTTAACACCTGGTGTCCCTGAACGCACCATGAGACTGCAGGCAGGACTTCACCTGTTAACACCTGGTGTCCCTGAACGCACCATGAGACTGCAGGAGGGGTACAGAATGAGAGGACACTGACCTCCACCTCTGGGTTGAAGCCTTTGAAGGAGAAGCGTCCGTACTTCAGGTCCTCGCAGGAGACCAGGCTCTGCTCCTCCAGGATCAGGTTCCTGAGAGACAACAGAGTGTGTGAGTGTGAGTGTGTGTGAGTGTGAGTGTGAGTGTGAGTGTGTGTGAGAGTGTGTGTGTGTGTGTCTCACTCTCTGGCCCTCAGCTCTGGTAGGTCCAGGTACCAGTGTTCGTCGCTGATGATCCTCCGCTCGTCTTCCTCCAGCTGCTTCCTCGTCTCCGCATCCAGACCCCTCTGCATGAACTGACACACACACACACACACACACACACACACACACACACACACACACACACACACACACACACACACACACACACACACACACACACACACACACACACACACACACACACACACACACACACACACACACACACACACACACACACACACACACACACACACAACATGACTACCTTTGATTGCAGGACTCTTACTTCTAACAGAGTATTTGTACACAGAAGTGGACGTCGAGTTAAAGATAAACAACAACAACAACACTAATAAACCACGTGTTTCTCTCACCTTCATGCGCAGCAGGTTCTTAGAGAGTTTAGAGTCAGCCATCTCTGACCTCTGAACACTTGAATACACTATGATAGAATACACTGTAGTATAATAAAGTGTATTATAGCACTGATATACCTGCCGGGAGATCTACGGGACTCTGAAGCTAAAGGCTAAGAGCACGCGCAGCTGCTGCAGACAGGAGCAGTCGATCCCAGCTTCTGCAGACAGGAGCAGTCGATCGCAGAGCGGAGGGCTCACTACCGCCCCCTGCTGTGCGGAGTGAGGAGCAGAGACCAGGACAAAAGATACAAAGAAAACCTAATCGATCAGATCAAAAAGATCGAGTATTTATTCAAAAGAATGTGAAAAATACTGAACATCTCAAATTCCTTACTTTTCTGAAACTATAACTTTTTTCTCAAAATGTTAAGATTAGGACTTTTTCCTGATTTCTTTTTTAATCTCAGAATCTTGACTTTCTGAGGAAAATCTCGAAATTCTGATTTTTGAATGAAAATGTCCAAAAAATCTGTCTGGAAATCATAGAATTCCGTTTTTAATCTTAAAATTCAGAGTTTTTTTCTCAAGTCAACT